CCCCAAAACCCCAAAACCCCAAAACCCCAAAACCCCTAATGCGATTCTAATGATTGAAATGATTTGCATTATATTATGGGCTAAGATTTATTTTGTTCTTTCTCAAGAACCTTTTCCATGATGTCTTCAAGATCGTTGGTGATGTCCTTGATCATATTCGAACTTTTCCTGTTGAGATCTTTATGGATTTTAACGATATCTCCCAGCATTCTTCCAATCTGAGTTTGAATGGAAGTCAATCCTTCATGGAATTCCTGTTTTGCTTTCTTAGTGTAAAAATTGTTGTTTGTAGTAAAGGCCATTTGTTGATTACTCGGATTCATTGTAGAAGCGTTTGGGTTTAACGAAGCAGCCTCTGCTTTGCGTAACAAAGTTTTCTCCTTCTGGGAAATTGCCTTAGAAGGATCATTTTTCAAGGAGTTTAATAGCTCTTTCTTTGCAGCAAGGTCACTTGTTTTAGTGAGAATTCTGTCCTCTTCAATATCAACATTATCATTTTCAGTCATTTTAACTTCTTCTGGATCTTCATGGCATAAGACAAAGACGAAGTCTGTTTCTTGAAGAGGAGTGTCATAAGCAGGATTCGTAACGACATAGTTTATATTAGTATCCTCCTTTTCCTTTGTAAAGAAATCGTTTCGGTAGAGGCCTAATGGGATCATTTGTTTTTCGAGAGAAAACTGTTTGTAAAGAGTTCCAAATGTTTCACCAATTAAATGCATTGGAACTCGGACATGGTAGAGATTACTGGATTTGATCTTGTTAAATTCTTTTCCAAAGATCATCATATTCTTTTTCTGGAAAGATCTTCGAGTCTCTCCAATGACAAGTTGTCTGAGAACAGTGATCAAGGCAGAGTTATAACAAGCTTGGCAGACTAAGGAATCCATCAAACTGGAGGAGTATACTTGGCCACTTGCGAAGATTGGTGTTTGGTCGTATCCATACTCATTCATTACGTGGTAAATATTCGGACTGTCAAGGTAAGCAAGGTTTTCATGGCTATAAAGCTCTGTAATTATTTTGACATCAGCATGTCTTTTGATAATATTGTACTTGAAGATTGTCTGAGCATCCATTAGATTCTCTTCTTCCTTTTCTTTATTTTTCTTTGATAGCATCGTCATCTTTGTTATCTTCCTTGAGCATGGAATCTTCAGCTTCTGGGAGAGAATTATTCTTCTTGGGGTTCTTACCAGTGTTTGAGTAAGGCTCCTTTGTGGTCTTTGTGCCAAGCATTGGAGATAAGATTACTACTTGTTTTGCTTCTTCAAGGTTGATTTTGTCTAAGTCTGATTCTTTTAATGCAGACCCTCTGACGAAATAGATTTGTGGAAATCTTGAGAGCTGAGACCAGAGCTGCTGGCTTGGTTCTTCCTCATTAAATATTACGATCGGAGATATATTTCGAAGGTGGAGGGTTCTCAGAGGGATTACAAATCCTCTAATGTTTTCGACTATTCCACAGATAATTATATGATCCTTGGCTAATTTAGAGTCCTTTAGTGTTGAAAATTTGATATCCTCAAATTTGACCGGATTTTGGGTGAGATGGCAGAAATGGATCCAGTCTCCTTCCAAATTCTCTACATCAAGTTCATTTTCTTCCTCCTCATCAGCATCATAGGCATCACTATCGCCAGAGATGTCTATGGATTCATATCTAGGGTCTAAAATCTTTCTGTCACTATCATGTCTTACCAAGTGGTCTTCCATGTGGCCGAGGTTAAGATACATATCCGCATTTTCGTTTTCGATAATGTCAGCAACATTGAAGATTTTCTCTGCTTCTTCCAAACTATCTGCGATCAGGTAGCCGTAGTACCTAAAATTGGCTTTGGAGTTGTTTAAGATCTGGTTGTTGAAGGTTCCAGGATTCAGGAGAATAGGTCCACTATCCTTGTCCATCTCGACTATTTCGATAGCAAACAGAATGTTATTATAGTTTTTGTAGATATAGTTTGACAATTCATTAAAGTTCTTGTCTAGTGTCGATTTTGGAATCAGAACACGGTAGATTTCATGGGATTTTCCTTGCCAATATTCTGGAAGCCATTCCCATTCACGCTCTTTGGGGAGCTTGTTTCGCTCGGGAGGATCATCACAGGACTTAATGAGGTTAGAGATCAAAGAAATTAGTCCAGGAGTAGTACAACTTTTTGCTAAAAGGCTTAATTTTAGATTTTCAATTCATACTATTTGGTCATTTTTAGTCTCCTTGTTTAAAGAAAGTTCATAATGCATGATACTTTCGGGTTTTAAAAGTTGAAGTCTCAGTTGACACTTGGAGTGTTCATGCTGTTTCAAGTACTTCTTGAGTACCATAGCTTGAAGGATGGTATTAGCATCTTCTTTGGCGGGGTCTGAAGTAAGGATATTACTCATTATCACAACATGAGTAGCCTTATCCAATCTAGCTCTGTTGAAGGTTTTCTTTTCATGTGGATTTCCTTCTATGTAATGTACCTTCGAGATATATTTATCATTTCCAAGAAGGGATTCCATTTTCTTGTCTGGCCTGGTAGATTTAATAATAATACAATGTCTTGTTTCATTTTTCCCATGGTCTTCATGAAAATATTCTTCAAAGAAATTTATTGCATTCTTTGCATTGACACTCCCAATGATGACAACATGGGGCACTTTTGATATAATTTTGTACTTATAATCAGCATAAGCACTTCTTTTTGAAATCAGATTCACAACTTCTCCTGCTTTAGATGGAACAATAATTATACCGCAGATAATTAATCAAATAATGGTTATCCTTACTCCAGTCGTGGTAAGGTCATTTCCATAGCCAATTATACTGACAGTAGTCATAACAAAAAAATATGTGTGATGAAATGGCAAGTCTGGAGCATCTACTGTGTCTAATAAGGCTGAGCTTCAAATTACCAAACAGAATATTATATGACAATTGTTAAGAAGTTTCCTGTTATCCTCATCTTCAACATATTTCAAGAATTTGTATAGAGAAAATAGCCTCCAAGTGTCAAACATCCTGGTTAAGGCAATAGCGATATTCGTATGATCATTATTTGTAATTCCATTATATAAATGAACTACAATGTAAGGAAACGTTGTTAACATATCTAGAAAGCTCTCCATCGAGAGAATAGAGGTTAATAAACTTCTTCAGACATACATCCTGAGTATAAACTCAATAAACAAATATCAGTGGCTCAGGAATGAGAAATAATCGAACCAATCTAAGCTACTTGTTTGAAATCCCTCTTCGTCGTAAGTTGAGCATATATAGAAAGCAGAGATGATACAGGTAAGAGTTCCATTGACTAGGTCAACCGGGAATCTTCATTTTGGAGATTCTATCATCTTTCTACATTGAAGCCTCATCGGGGTTGCTTTGTTTGACTTATTGCTATCAATCATATCTTCAAATATGATATCAGATTCACTCTTTGGCTTTCTTCGGCCTCGATTTACGATCATTTTATATATTTAAATTCAATAATTTAGGATCAGGTGGGGTTTTGGGGTTTTGGGGTTTTGGGGTTTTGGGG